TGAAGTGTGCATATAGCATTTGTCTGACGTGATTAAAATAAAATACCTAGTTGCAAAAAATGTTTAAAAGTTGGACTTTACCAACAGTGAGAAGTGGCAACAGGGTTCTTTCAAGGACCAAGACTGATTTCGAAGAACATAGTGTTCTGGGAAGTATTGCCTGCAGACAGTGTAGCCATGTGGCATATTTTTTTCAGCTTTAAGTGCAACTGTAAAGGCATTTCCAAAATACAGGATAGTAGAAAGTTAGTAAGTATTCTAAGGTGGTAAGGTATTCTAACCTCTGTAATAGGTTACATGGCTGGTACTACAAATAAGGCTGTATAGTTTTGTATCCACAAGGCAATTTATTAAGAATTTTAAGGTTATTTAATTAGGTCTTTTTGTTCTTCCTGTTTATTAGATGAGGAAGCTGAACATTACTGTTTGAAGACTTCAGTCTAGAATAGGTGATTGTTCAGGATTTGTCTCCCTTGAGCTTAGCCAGGTGAAAAGGAGGAAGCCAGCCCGAGCCAGTTGTCTAAATTTGGTGGAGAGCAGTGAGTGCTTTGCAAGAAAAGAACTCTCACCTGGTAGGCAAGGTGGGTAGGACAGATGGAATCGTTTCCTGCTGTGGGTGCCCTCTGAGCTCTTTGGCAGCCACAGAGAGATTTTAGTCACTTGGGTTAGATGCCTACATTTTAGGTGGCCGAAGAGGAGGGAAATGAATCCTATGCTTTCCAGTTCTCCCTGTTATTACACGTTGAGTTGGCTAAGAATGCTATGACTACTCGCTGTGTATGCGTGAGCTCATTAGTCACATCTCAGTATATGTGGACTTATCTGTGTACGATGTGGTGCTGGATGTTGCTTGTCCTACCTTATTCTGCCCAGATGCTCTTCTGTGTTTAGAATTTCCTCACCAGTGTGTTCAGATTAGGCTTTATGGGTGATATTTTCTGAATAGTTCCAAGCAGAGAGATATATTTCTGAATTCAAGTATTTGTAGTTTTGGATTCAGCTGCAAATTAAGATGCCTGAATATAAACAGCTATCTGTCTGCAGTGAAGGTTAAGCTCCTTTAATAATAATCAGAGGAGCTCTAGTCAGTACCATGAAGCCTAGAGCATAATTCTGTCATCCTAAAGAAGATGTTATATCTGGTTAGCTGAATGGCTGTCTAGGCTTCACTGACTACCGTGAGATCGTGGGTGCTGAACCCATGCATTGACATTGAGATACAAATGTGTCATTGTACACATCTCTGTCCGCAGGAAATATCCTAATATCCTAATATTGTTTAGTCTGGAGAAGAGGAGGCTGAGAGGAGACCTTATCGCTCTATACAACTACCTGAAAGGGGGTTGTGGCGACGAGGGTGTTGGCCTCTTCTCCCAAGTAACTAGTGATAGGACAAGAGGAAATGGCTTCAAGTTGCGCCAGGGGAGGGTTAGATTGGATATTAGGAAACATTTCTTCACTGAGAGGGTGGTCAGGCATTGGAACAGGCTGCCCAGGGAGGGGGTGGAGTCGCCATCTCTGGAAGTGTTCAAGAAACGTGTGGATGTGGCGCTTCAGGACATGGTCTAGGGGACATGGTGGCGCTGGATTAATGGTTGGACTTGATGATCTTGAAGGTCCTTTCCAACCTAGTGTTTCTGTGATTCTGTGATTCTGTGATCCTACCCAGCATGTCTGAAAAAAAGCCATGTAAAACTGACATCTAGAAAATACTTTTCCTGCAACTTTCTCATTAACTGTCAAGCCTTCCCACAATACAAGCTAATTAAAAGAAACATAACTAGGGTGTTAATGGACCTTCCTGTAACGGAAAGCTTTCGAAAACCTTTGAACCTATTCCCCAGCTGCATTTTTGATCAACTGTCATGATACACCTCTGTGCAAAAGAAAAGGATTTGCTCCTTAAACATAACTGGTAGCTGCAGTCTTAAGAAGGAGCCTTAGATCCACATGAAGATATTAAACAAGAGACATATCCAGAGAGATTCCTCTTTTAGAAGAATTTTATTTAACAGGTACATATAAGCACTATGGTAAATGATGATTCCAAAGTATGGCGATTAATCTAGTTTACAAATTAAAACACTACATTATTTTATGAGAGTGTAGACCTGCAAGCACGGTAAGAATTACTGCTCTATAGGAGTAGACAGGAACAAATAAAGTAGTGGTTTATAAAATGCAATAGAAATAAGATGTATGCCTTTGAGATTCAGCCTAAACAACAGCTCCTTGAGATTTTAATCTCCTGTGAGGCAGTGGTACTGGGTATCAAAGAAACTTTTTCTCTGTTTGGTTTGGTCATTCCGTAGGCATTTTCTGATTCTTAAAATCAGGTGGTCTTTTAGGGGTAGAATTACCTCTTAAATATTATGAAAATTTTACTCTCGAGGGACCAATGAAAGCCATGGGAGCTATTAGAAGTCCAGTCTCTTTTTAAAAACACCCAGGCAAAATAAACTTGGTTTTATAGCTAGCTATAGACTGTTGTTAAGGTGTAGTTTCTTGCCTCTCCCAATTCACACCCAAAATATACTTTTTACCTGTGTATTAAGTACTGGGTTACAAAAATGGATGGTGTACAAAACATGCAAGGCTCATGCAAGAAAACTTCTTTAATGCTAAGACCTCTCCCTTTTCTTTCTGGGTGTCTCCTGTATTCTCACAGTCACGTGCAGTGGAAATGGTTTGGGGCAGAGATTTGTGTTTTGAATAAAGTCATTTGCTATTCAGTATAATGAAGAGTATTAGAAAGTTACTACTAGCACCATTTTAATTTCATAGGCAAAGAGATCAGGAGTTTTTTTATTTCATGCATTTATTTTCTTTCCCAATTTCACATAATTATAACTTTAGTCTATCTTCTGTCCTTCATGTTTTACTTTAATGAATAGCTGTAAGCCTTATTAGGGAAGCTGGCTGGAAATGACTTATCTTTCCATTGTTTCAAAGTGACTCTCCTAATGAGAATAATACTTGTTTTGCAGTGCAGTTTAATATAGTATAATTATAATATGTCATCAAACAAGGACAAAACCAGTATTTCTTTATCATGTATTATTTATTTTGTGATTAGTCCAGGCTACATCATATTGCAGATTTTTCTGGCTATCAAGAGTAATCACTGGCAGTCTCCAAAAATCTAATCTTACTGCTGGCCTTCCCTGCCCTCTTTCCCCTTCTTTCTTCTCTGATCTACCAGGAAGATAATTTGGTTTCTTTTTCCAGACACACAGATGTGCACCAGATGGTTACTGATAGTTTCAAGGTCCTGATGAGTTATTGGAATAATTAGTGTTGGTGTGAGGTTTGTCATCTAACTGTAATACTGAACTGTACACTCATCTCTTTCAAGCTTTTAAAATAAAAGGTTTATTTTATTAAGACTTTTGAAACAGCACTTCAAATGTCAGTGCAGATAATAATTGATACCCAGTTCATGGTCAGAAGTTCACTCAGCTCTCTTTAATGTGTAAAATTCTTGATCTTACAAAGGGGATCAAAGGCAATCTACATTTAGGTGATATACGCATTTTATACCAGAAGGAACAGTAAGACATCAATCAGGGAATTATTTTAATGATGAATTTAGAAATGTTTCGTTCTAAAATATGAATATAAGGTGTTAAAAATGATAGAGAAATTGATACATAAATATGATTTATGGATTGTGGATTTTAAAATGTCATCCACAGGATCTATTAAGTCTCACTCTTTTGTGCAAGTCTTTTTTTTTGTTGCCACAGCAGGTTTAATAGGTCTGGATTTATAAAGTATAAATATGAAAACAGCTCTTAAGAAAATTTGCTTCTGTGTATGTTACTTGCACATTTATTTTGTGCTGTAATGGATATGCCTCCTAGATCTGATATAGCACCTATTGTTTTGATAGCTAAATCTGTTTAAAATAAGAAATAAGTACTTCTCTTTGACATAGGAACAAATCCATTCCTTTTATTTTTCAGTGTTGACATAGGAACAGATCCAGTCCTTTTATTTTTCAGTGTTCATCACTATTTTCATAGGTGTGTCACTTGTAACACAACTGTCTTTGGATGTAGCTGCAACAGCTACATCGTCACGCAGCCCATGCCTGTGTGATTTAGATCTTTTCCCTGGTATTTTGATCTTGAAAACAGTTTTGAAACAAGATTATCGCCATCCACCAAAAATACAGAATTTTTGCAAGCAAAGCAGAATAGGTAACTCCTGTACAGAAAAATAATGTGCTAGCCTTTTGATGATAAGGAATTCAGTGGGATTGCCGGGCACTAATAGCATGCATAAGTATTTGCAGGATTGGAGCTTTATAAAATCCTAAGCAGAATTTGAGCTTCCTTTCCTTAAGATTCACTGATTAATCACTTCAGGCCTACCCCACACTACTGTTTCCTTTCAGTTAATCCATGTGTCTTTTAAAGCACATCTGATGAACAAATGGGAGAGCTGTGGAGGTATTGGAGCTCCTTAGAGCTCCTTTATGCTCAAGGATGGCTCAGTCTGCTCTCCAACCAACTCTTTATTTACTTAATATCTGTCTTTATCCTGCTGA